TTATGTAAAGTGTATCTCCTAAGCTATGTTTCTTGTGAGACTAAAGTGAAGTTAGTATCTTTCACTCATTGATGAAGGAAATGCTACAGAGCTGCTGTCAAGCCTCAGGAAGGGCCCTGTGTGAGCATCCACAGTCCTTCTGCAGCAACAAGGTCCCTCCCAAGGGGAGGAATGGTGTAGCACCATAGCTATCTATCTGGAAACTATGAAGCACCTCAGTTACATGCTCAGTCTATCTGCCCTCCCCTTGCCTAGAAGCATCTCCCTCGTTCCTCACATACTGCAGAGGGTCAGTTCTCTGGGCCCGAGGCTGTTGTTGACAGCGTTGCTTATGATCTGCCACCTTTGTGCCAGATGAAAATGTCTGAGTTTCTGTTTGCTCGCTCTCTGTTAGTTGTGAGTTTTGAGACAGATTCTTGTGTAGGCCAGGCCAGCTGTTGTTGGCTCATGGTCTGTGTTTTAAAGAGCCTTCCTTTGCTCTGGTTTCCTTCTCTAGGAAACAAACTTTCCTTACTCTCATTTATCCTCAGCTGTAGGAGAGCCCCTGAACAGATCTTGCCTCAGCTTCCTTCACCTTCGTATGTTCTCTCACCTAAGCACTCGAGTGTGAACACTATCGGTAAGCTCACACGGGGCTCATGGCTTCCCAGACTGCTACATGCTGTGTTTTTCTGATGTCACATCTGACCTTGCTTTTATTTGATATCACTTACTGCTTGTCTCTTCAGTTTCCTTCCCTTGGTGGCACACCCTTCACATGGCGCTGCTTCCTCTCTCCTTCTGTCTGTCCTGATCACCTTCTTTCCCTTCATTCCTCCCACTGTGCTATAAGAACTTTTCTGCTCACAGTCTTCTAGCAGGAAAGCTAAGATCAGAGCACCAGCATGGCCAGGTCCTGGTGAAGATGGCTAGAGTCTCCCTGCCCCCTCCTATGGCAGATGGTGAATGAAGAGGTTCCTGTGGGTCTATCAGTCTCTGTCTCTTGCTTTCTCTCTATCTCACACTGTGTCTCTATGATACTTGGGATTGACTGAGGACTTTCCCTGGAATGTACTACACTACGCTGCTACAACCCTGGCTGTGGGCTCTCCTTCACCAGGGCACTAATCCTAAACCACACGGTCTCATTGCAAAGGCCTCATCGGCCATCATGGTGAAGATCTAGGCATTTGTGGAGAACACTCATTCATTTAGTGCAGAAAGCAGAAAGAGTGAAGCCGTGGTTATCAGTGTCTTAGGCTTACTGTAAGAAGTTTGGAAAAGGGTCACTCCAGTAGACATCAGGTGTGGTAGACCACCATGGCAGTATCTGGATGACTCTTTCCATAGAAGCTCTGGTCCACAGTCCCTTTCTTCTTCTCCATCTGTCACACACCAAATTCACATCCTGAAGGGAGTGGCCTTACTTTTCTTGCCTCTAAAGCTAGTGTTTAAAGGAGTTACAGCCCCCACCCCTCCCTGTTCTTTCTGCATTTGCTTCCATGAGTAAGCCCATTTGTGCCACCAGGTTCACGTTCTGTCTTAAATTGACACCTTCATTTTTCTTGAGCCTTGAATATACATAATCAACTGATAGTTAACCCATTATTTTCCCCTGGATATAATGTACAGCATTTCAAACTAATGTTCTCAGCTTTGTTTTTTGTCTTCGTTTCCTAGTGTATAAAATCCCTAAACCTGTTGATGATCTGTTTGGGATTTTTATTCTATATGCTTTTCTCTCCCCTCAGTCACCAAGTCCTATTGATTTTACATTTTGTAATATTGGTGGTGTATCATTCTGCTTTTTTTCTGAACAGTTTTCAGAATCACATAAATTCTCTCTTTACTCACTGCACTTGGAGAGTGAATAAATTAGTCTGCTATTCTTTGTATCTATGGACATAGTGGATTGGCCACTCTAGGCAGGTGGTTCTGGGTTGTATAAGAAACCAGACTAAGCAAGCCAGTAAGCAGATTTCCTCTGTGGTCTCTGTTTCAGTTTCTGCCTCCATGTTTCTGTCTTGAACTCCTGCCCTCCTTTTTCTTAAATCATGGACTATAACTCTGAAAGAGGAAAGGAACCCTTTCCTTCCCACATTGCTTTTGGTCCGTCACTGTTTTTGTTTACTATGTTTGTTTATCACGGTAACATAAAAGCAAATTTGGTCATGTGTTACCAATCTTCATAAAATTAGTCTCCTCTGGATTGTCCTTGGGTTCATTTATTAAAAATGAAGTAAAGATTTGAAGCTATTTGTGATTTATTTTTTTCCTATTGGTTTGCAAATATCCACCCCTCATTCAGAAGCAGGGAAAATACTGGTTGACAGTGGCTCATCTGGGAACATTTTCGCAGCAGTCAACTTGCTTTTCATGGATACTGCGCTACTTTTCGTATTCTTACTTCACAGTTTTTAGTCATCCTTCAATTAAATCCAATCATTACAATATGGCATTATCAAATAAACAGGTTTACGATTTAAAAACTACTTTAATTAGGGTATGCCTCTGCTGATGGGAGCAAATTGTTTTTCAGTCCGCTCAAAGGAGCCACCTGTTTGGAAACACTCCAGGTGCATCAGTCAGTGTGATTCCGAAAGAGCCTGGAGATCGTGGGTTCAGCTAGAGAGGTGGCTATGTGGAAGCATTCACTGCGAAGACCCTACCATATTTGTTGGAATGTCACGCAGGAGAGTGTGAATCTCTTCGACTTGGCATTGTGATAACCAGAGAGCTCAATACAGACCTCTCCACCTTCCTGTGCATTCTTCCTGAACCTCAGTCATACAGATGCTCAGCTCCTGTCTCCCAGACATCGTGAGGCTTATAAAGCTGATGGCTGTCATTTCTCTCATACTGTAACCATGGCAAAGTATGGTTTTTAGAGCCACTCTTTGGTTTTAGTCTGTCGTGCGTTAGTTGGCATTTTGTTATGACCAGATACCCGAGATGGTGAAGTTGTAAGATGAAGCTTTATCTGGGGTCATGGTTTGAGAAAGTTTAGTCCCTGAGTACGTGGGACTATAGGTGTGAGTGAGAGAGCACGTGGTGGAGAGCTATTTACCTCATGGCAAAGAAAAGCAAACAAAGAGGAAAGGGCTTGGTCAAAAATAAAACCTTTGAAGTGTTCCAATTTCCTTTTGTTAGGCCCCACTTTCTTAAAGGTTCCCACTTTTCACTGGAGCCCCAGAGACAATTTAGCCACACTCTTTAATATGGTCACTGGGAGGAGGGTCACCCCTATCCAACTACAGCATAGTGTAAATGAATTAGGTTGTGGATAGTCAGCCAACCATCAGACAGTGTGATTGCTTAGTTATGCTATGTCAATAGTACTTACTGTTTTGAGAATTGAATGGACAGACACTCACCAGTGTCTTTGCTTTTTGTAGAATGCAGTGCACCGTTTGCATGATTTGACTCTACTGTGAGTCCTTAACTCCAACAGTGCAAGTTAGGTATTTTTTTGTTTGTTTGTTTGCTATAGATATCTGGTTTAATAATTAGGTTTAGACTCATCCTTAAGATAGTCAGATTGAGTTTCTGTAACTTGTTTCATAGTTATAATACTTTTCTTAATACAGATCAAGAAGATTATCATTTTATACACATACTCCTTTAATTTTGTAAAAAAAAACTCTATTTTCTTTGGCTTTTGTTTAGTGAAGCAATGTTTTTGATTTTGATTTTGTTTTTTTTTTTTAACTGACTTTGGAGCACCTTACATGGTTACTTCTTGGCAGGCTTGATTATTCACTTGTACTTGACCCACTAAACTTTGAAAGTTTGTCTGTGTGAGGGTGTGTGTGTGTGTGTGGGAGAGAGAGAGAGAGAGAGAGAGAGAGAGAGAGAGAGAGAGAGAGAGAGAGAGAGAGAGAATCTGTGTGTGTACACGAGTCTGTGTGTATGTGTGTATATGTGTGTGTTATGTGTGTATGTGTGAATGTGTGTGTATGTGTGAGTGTATGTGCATATGTGTGTGAATGTATGAGTGTGTGTGTGTGTGTCTGTGTGTGTATTTTGACATAAGGGATGCTTTTTTTTTCTTCTTACTTTTGCTGATAAGACAAGATCTGATGTAGCTCAGGCTAGTTGTTTTGCTGCCAAAGCTAGCCTTGAATTTCTATTCTTCCTGCCTCCACCTCTTAAGACTGCCACACCATGCTACACTAGAATTGCAGTTTTTGAACAGCAGTTTGCTGTTTGCATCCTTCTCTAGTCTGCTTCCTAAGTATCTGCCCAGAGCCTGCTCCTTTTGATCCTTATCTTAGGCAGTGAATAATCTGTTTAAAATGGACTTCAAAGTACCTGTGGTTTATTTGCTTAAAGCAGTACATTTCTCTTTGAAAAGATAATGCCTCCTTTTAAAGAGTTGACTTGTGACCTTTATAGCAGTCCTCCAAGGCTGGAGAGATTAGCGCCTTCCGAGTCACAGGCCTCTTTTCCAGTGAGTAACTGTCAGTGAGCTTTACCTAAGAAACACAGAGATGTGCAAACTCAGTATAGTACATCTGATTATTCTTTGTGTTTATATATCCTCATTGAAATGAGAATATTACCCGGAGAATCATAACAGTGATGGCTCATGGTTTGGCTACAGAAAAGACCTTTTTGTATACTACACATATGAGTTACTGGTAAAAGGGAATTATTTACGGTTAGGTAAAAAATAGGCTAATCTCATAGTATTATAGCTTAAAGAAGAAAGCAAAGGTCAATGGTACTCCTATGTGGTTCCGTAGACTCTGGAAATTTACACTGTACAGGGTGAGCCGTCAGCCACTGGGTTGTGAATCTCTATCTTTGTATTTACATTTAGTCTTGTCTGCAGGACAGCAGGCTTACTGAACACACACTGTAATCTCTGTTTATGCCCCTCCACACTCCTGAAGGGCCTCCAGGTCTCCCTGAGTTCTTCTGCATCATTTTTAGGGACATCTTAGGTACTTGTAGCATACTATATTAGCTAGTTGCCATGAGGAGTTTCATTGGTCTTTTTCTCTGAATTTCTCATACAGGCCTTCAAGAAACCTCCAGAGTGTCTTACCCCTGCTCCCTGTAAATGCTGTGAGAATCCCAGTTTTATATGTCAAAAGTGGTCATCATCCAGAGCTCCTGGATTGTCAGCTCTGGAATAGTAGGTGGAAAATATCGTTCAGGTAATACTCTGTAGTCAGAATCCCCAAATGTGTTGATCATTCGCATCCTGTATCATACATATGGGCTTAGAAACTGGGAGTTATGTTAGTATGAAGACCCGGAATCCAAGCATGGTTTCTGTTTTTATCCATTACCTGCCCCCACTGGAAATGGATATGTAAATAATGCATGTAAATAAGTCCAAGTAAATTACCTGGCTTTAATTCTTATATAGTTCCGTGGATTATTTGTTTGCATTTTCATTTCTTACTTTACAAGCAAATATAAAGCTTCTTTATGTGTGTCTGTGTCAATAGAAGTGTGCGTATAAATGAGCAACACCTGTAGATGGAGAAAGCAGATACAGAATAATATGGAACATGTATGTGAATTGTGGCTGTGTCCTGCAGTTGCATGTGTATTCTGGTGCATGCATATGATTTCACCACTAATGCAGTATTACGTGTGTATCATATGTGGGGTATGGATGGTAAATTACACATATGTGAAACAGGCATTAATGTAATAGTAGATGTCTATAATATGTTGGCGTGGGATGGTGAATTGTACATATATAAAACAGACATTAATGTAATATTGGGTGAGTCTGAGTTATGCAGACATGTATCGTATTTATGCCTGTATAAGTGTGTTAGAATATAAGTCAGCATGCAGAATAACGTACGTACATGTATGTGTGTATCTGTCTTAGGGTACAATTGTGGGGGAAACACAGGATAAATAATGCTTAGTATTGAATCTGAGATGGTAACTTGATACCTATGTGGCTTTGTCATTGGGCAGGAGCCACTCAACTCTTCTAGGTTTTATTAGTAAAAGGTGAGAGTTTTAAGTTCATAGAGGCTCTTTTATGACTCTAAAGTTTGACGTTTATCGAAGATACCATCATTCAGTTTGTTCAGTCACTGTGTGAATGACTTTATTTATAGTAATATTTTATGATTGACTTTCACCGCTCACATTCACCACATATCTTTATTAGCTTCTGGAGCTTTTAACTTATTTTCCAGGATAACTCTTAATCTCATGAGCTTTCCCCCCAAACTGTAGCAAACTCTTCCAGATTATTGTCATCAGTGTATTGTTTACTCTTCTTTTGGCTGTGACCAAATTCCTTACAAGAAACAACCTGTGAAAAGAAGGGTATTCAGTTTATAGTTTAAGAAGGGATATAGCCCAGCCTAGCAGGCAAGACATGGAAGTGGGAAAAGATGATGATTGGTCAGAGTGGATCCAAAGTTAGGAGGCAGTGGGGAATGACTGCTGGTGCTCAGCTTGCTTTCTCTTTATTCTGAAAACCCAGCCCATAGAATGGCACCACCCACTCTCAGGGTGGGTCTTCCTTGCTCAGTCTGGAAACTCTCATAGACACACCCAGAAACTCGTTTCCAGGGTGATTCTAAATCTAGAATAAAGGATATTGCAAACCGAGCATCACAATAGATTAATATAAAAAGATTTCAAGGGCTGGGAACTGCACATTTAGTAGAATGCCTGCCAAGTAAGCGTGTTCCCTGTAGTTGTGATCTCCAGCACCAGCAGAAAAAGATGGGTGTGGTGGACTGCTTTTGCAGCTCTAAGATGGCAAGAAGCAGGACTCCAGACTCAGACATATCTCCAAAGCTTGATGGACAGCAGTGTAGCCAGTTGGCAAGTTCTAGGCTCAGCAAGAGAACCTTTATAAATAAGATGTAGAGGGATAGAGAAAAACACCCAGCATTGACCTTTGGCTTAGACTGATACTATGATGGTAACTGTCACCGAGTTCAAGCCATGTAGCTCTACAATACTTAGCTGAAGAGAGGACTGAGTGAATTTCTTTGTATCTGGGTACACTTGTATGTGCAAATTGTGAAGGCCAGAGGTGAGCCTCCGATGTAAATAGGAGCCATCCTTTCTCTTTCTTTAGTCAGGGTCTCTTACTGGCGTGTGGCTCACTGAGTAGGCTTGGCTGACTGGTCTACGTAGGCCTCTCTCCACCTTCTAGTGTTGGGGATCCATGCCTGAGGTTTTTACATGAGTTCTCACCATTGAGCGCAGACTACACTTTATTGGTTGGGCTCTCTCTTTTCAGCTCCTGGGTAAAATTCTTAAAGACCATTTTGGTACCTATTTTGCCTTTGTAGACAGCGCATCATCAGTTTTGCTGCACATGAGATAGTCAGCAGATGCTCGTGCAATGAACACACCACTGTAGGCCATTTAAAATTCCCTGTCATGTAGATGCTCTCCTGTTCACTGGGAAGTTCTCTGCGATGTATAGGTCTGCAGAGTGGTATTAAGAGGACATCACTGTAGATGCTAAGGGACCTAGGGTAGTAGAGAGGGATGGAGGTGGGTGGCCTGGGAGGAGAGGTTCGGTGCCTTTCTTCCACTCTTCAGGGCAGTGTACCCTTTCAGAGCAGCTATCTTTAACCAGCGAGGCACATTATTTCATTAGCTCTGTATCCCCAGAGTCATATGGGAGTCTTTTCTGGGTATAAATCTTGTGTCCATAGGGCACTGAAGCAGTTAATCTAAATGCTCTCTTGAACTCAGAGTGCAGCGCTGAGTTATGATTCTAGAACAGAAGAAAGACCTGCTTTTCCATAGAAGATTCTCTTCCTAATGCATGGTAAATTATAAAAGGGAGTGAAAAACTCCAAGGGAAACTTCAAAATACTCATATAAGATTTGGGCATTTGATTGAGAAATATACTGTTTTGTTGCATGAATGTTTTATGCTGACTTCCTCTTTAATTTCATAGTTTATCTGAGATAGCTCTGATGGGGAAAAAAATCATCTACTAAAGCCCTCTGTCCTCTTGCTGTGGTTAGTACTGGTCATTTTTTACCTTGATACTCTGTGTTGACATCTTCGCTTGTGATAGCCAAAGTAAACACACGAAATGAGATGTTGACAGTTGTGGCTGATTATCAATTGTCACTGAAATTTTGGGTGAGGTATTTGCTCCCTAATAAAGGAAACACTATTGGGTTATATAAGGTTAGCTTACACAGTAGTTTTAATGTCCTTGAAGTTTCACCTCAGAAATTATAATACAGTCAGTGTTGGCTTCCAGTGACCTCTTTTTAGCTTGAGCCTTCTGCATGAAGTTCATGCCGAATTGAACCTCAGGAAGGAAATGTCTTTCAGAGTCAAAATGAAACCAAGTATTCATATTAGGGGGTATAAGGAAAGAAACAAATAAAAAAGAAGAAATCCTCCCCTCAGGAGCAGGCAGCGCTTGCCTTCTGCCAACTGGCCCGTTTGTGAGAACTAGTGAAGTCATCAAGCCGGAGCTATTTTAATCCTGACACGGTGGTGCGCAGAGGCAGCTGGAGGTGCTGCACAGAGGAAGCGCAGAGACATTTTCAGAGGCAGAAAATTTCCCAGCTGACTGACAGCATCCCTGTTTCACACCTAGTGCCTCTGGCACCTCTGAGAAACTGAAGGGCTTGTGTAATGGGCCAGGCTGGGATGATGTAGACTGAATCTATACCCAGCCCTTAAAGGAAACCTCTAGCTTCTTCTCCATTGAGACCAGCCCCATCCATCATGATAAGCTACATGGGTTGTAAACATGGTGATGATGCGAAGCAGAAGACAAATTGTTGTTAGGATTTGAAACATGGTCTCTGGTGTCCTACACTGGCCTGACCTTACTATATAGCTGAACATGTCCTTTAACTTCTAATGCTCCTGCTTCTGTCTCCCAAGTGCAAGGATTGCAACCACAATCTACCATGCTTGGTTTTAACAGTACTGGTCATCAAACCTTGTCCATGCTAGGCAAGCACGCTGCCAGTGGAGCCACATCCTTAGACATAAAACATTTTGAGTTTTTCTTTTTCTTTGTCTTATGGGTTTTTTGATCACAAAAGATCAGAAGTGCAAGGGCTTTACTTCACTGAACCAATGATGTTGAAGATAATGATCAAATAAAAACAAACACAATCGCACACATATATGCATATGCACACACATATACACACACATATACACACAAATACATACATACTCACACATACCAAATTGAATATCATGATGGACAGTGACTCACTTCACAAGAAACCAATAGTAAGAAGAACTATCAGAAACTTGCGTTTTTAAATCCTTATAAAAATATCACTTGTTTTTCAAAAAAAAAGAGTATTTGGTAACCTGAAATGCATTTTAATTTTCTATGAGTTCTGCCTGTGGGCTTTGTCATTACCAATCTTTAAGAAAAAAAAAGTGTAAGTAAATATTTGATGGATTACAGATTCCTCTGTCGGATGCTGTTTTAACCGCTGGTGACATGATCTAAAACTGTAGGCACAGCTTCTTCATCCCTTTAGAGACTCAAAAAAAAAAAAAAAAGTCTAGAAACGTCAACCAAACAGAGATAAATTTAGAGATAATGAGATCAAGTTCTGAGTGTAAGAAGTTAACTCCTTTTCAGCCCGCAGAGGGAAGTGTTTCTGGTGTAGAAGCAGGGGGTCCCCTCTCAGGAGACACTCTTAGAATAAAGAGTGGAGCATGCAGTCCTTTAGCAGCAGTGCGCTCCGCTGCCAGCACTCTGCCCTGATTTTGCAGTGAGTCCAGGGATAAGAAGCTACCTTGTGTGCTGGAAACAGGACAGCCAGTATCTCAGACAACTGTGGTGATTCCAAAGGCACTTTCATTCTGAGTAACGAGCCCTAGGGTCGGACAAAACAAAACCAACTCCCCAAATTAAGTACAGTTTATTACCTATGAAAGCTTGTATAGTCTTCTGTTTACTGATTAAAAGCTATACTTAGAAAGACAGGACCTTTCCATCTCTTATTCAAAAAATGGTTGCCATCTTAATGCTACATCTTAATGTAGTACGAAGTCAAGGTGTGAATGGGCATATGGTCTTGGTAGCTGTGGTGCTGATATTCAGTAAAGTACATTCACAGTAAAGTAATCTTTCTTCTGTTTCCTTTGAACTAGCTGGGTAGATATAGTGCCGATTTATAGCATAATAGAGTCACTGTAGTGTAATATTTATAG